AAAATTACATTAGGTCGCCCTACATCGTCCACAGTTATAACTGTCCACAGTTGCTAATGGTGAGCAGGACAACAGATGCTATATGTACTTGTCGGGGCAATTTTTGCAAGTAAACATATAAATAGCGTTATGTTTTTCGGTTACATTTGTTTTGTCTTTATGATTATAGTAAACTTGGATCTCAGTTTGCATGTTGGTTAGATCCAAGTTTAATTACTAATCATAAAGACAAAACAAATGTAACCGAAAAACATAACGCCATTTACATGTTTACTTGCAAAAAATAAAAATTGGCCCGACAAGTACATATAGCATCTACAGTGTCTGCTCACCATTAGCAACTGTGGCCGGACAGTTTATATAACTGTGGACGATGTAGGGCGACCTAATGTAATTTTATATAGCAAAACATATTAACATATAACATGACATGAGATGACATGACATGACCGGCCCAAACCCTTATTAAATTAGGCGTAAGTATAAACTAGGCTAACTTTGCATGCCGTAGCACGACATGGTGACATAACATGATGAGATCAAACTAACACAACAGAGCCAGAGAGCCTAACTGTCTATATATATAAAATATACTACGAGTTACTATCGCAAAGAAATTGCTGCCTCGCCCGTAAGGGATCAAAGCCAGGCAGCATGCAGGATTCGCTGAATAAGGGGCTGAACACATTTATATGATCCTACTTTGCCAGGACAAGTTGTGAGGCAGGATTATTTTTGATGTATTGAAATAAATTATGGTGCACGATTCAGCAAAAAACTACATAGTTAACTGTAAACTAAAAGCAATAAAATATATTATACCTCAAATTCAAATTGTCTTATAAAGGAACAGCATTCGTACCACGTGACAATGTGTTTTTTTACGGTATTTCACTCAAATTCATGATTTCGCAATGCAGCGTGAGATCCACTGTGGTGGATATTATAGTATCTCACGCTCACACACGACGAAAGGATACCATGCACGCTCTTAAAGAACATGGCATTCGCGAGCTGTTGTTTGTAATTTCGTACCGGCGCGTACATGCAGATTTATTGATTTACTGTAACCAAAAATTTTTAAGACGTACGTTACCTTCAATAATCCAAAGAATACATGCTCAAATATTTTAAAGAGAAAACGTCAAAACACAGGTATACATAAGAAATTAAAAATTGTATTCGCTTTATAGTTAATATTCAGCAAGTTTTAAAGTTTATTCTGAACTTATTATAGTGGTGTCTTTTACCTTCGGTATAATATATCATTTATAGACCCTTGGGGGATTCGCCGAAACATTACCCTCAGTGATGATATTTCAAATATTAAATAAATATCATCACTTTATTTTTTTTATCATTTTATAATATTTCGCCGAATCCCTCTCGCTTCGGGTCTATAAATGATAAATAAACCTCGAAATAAACTATATGCTAAAGAAAACCTTAACAATTTAAAATAATAGATAATCAGTCTGTAAGCGTCAGTGCATAGTTTTAAATGTTTCTTTATTGGATTGCGAGGCTTCCGAAGTGACATTATCGACATTATCTTACGTGCATGGGATAATAGCGTGAGGTGGTTGGAAATACGGCTGCTTTTTCTGGACGCATGTTGGAACGCAATGAAAGTACTAAACATTACGTAGTCCACTGTGAAGTTGTCCTTCACCGAGGCCATGATCTGACCATCATTGACACAATCACTAGGTCTGCAAGAGAACTTCCAATAAAATCGCCAAGTTTTAATTAATTAACGTTACAAATAAACATTGTACGCGTTTTCCATGTACGCGTTTTCCATGTACGCGTTTTCCATGTACGCGTTTTCCACGTACGCGTTTTCCACGTACGCGTTTTCCACGTACGCGTTTTCCACGTACGCGTTTTCCATGTACGCGTTTTCCATGTACGCGTTTTCCATGTACGCGTGTACGTGTACGCGTGTACGTGCACGCGTTTTCCAGACAACCAGCTTTATTGACTATATACTAAAACAAATTGTTTTGAGTTCAGTTCACATAGCAGTCTCTTAACTCGAGCAACAGTTTAATAACTATTATATTTAACACTTGAATAATTCAAACTTATATATATACGAACGAAAACTGCAAACTATATAAATAAAGCGTGTCAATTTTCGACTCATTCTCAACATGCAGGATACGCTGTTACAGCGAGTTAGTTTTTGGTGGCCATGCATGCAAAAGTGGGTCGCTTATTTTGTTTACGAGTTACGTGGACGTATAATTATTGCTGTTAGTGTTACATAAACGTTCTGGTGTTCAAGAGCTACATATAGCCGATAAAAATTGCGTGCTCATTATAATCGCCGATCACATAGCTTTATCACAGTCTCAAACCTTCAGACAAACATATCCACATTCCTCTCCCCCCCCCTTCGGACATCCTAAGACATTTTTCCTCCCCTCCCCCCTTCGGACATCCTAAGACATTTTTCCTCCCTCCCCTTCGGACAGCAAAAATTTCCTCCGTGGGGGGGGGGGGTATGGATCTTTTCTGGAACGACCCATTTACGATTCAAACGCACGACTTGGGTAACAGATACAAACTCAAATTGTTTTTGCAAGTTCGTCCATGCTGCTAAAGGATCTGTCGTACTCGAAATGTGTATTTGCAAGTGTTTCTCGACGTTTAAGGCAATCAAAGAATAGGCTTTATCTGATCGCAACTAGAAAGCATTCTTTACAGCATTTGTCGCATTTTCGTCAGGAGGTATTTCTTTGCCTTCTTGTGTAAAGCCCCAAAGGCCACGTTCCATAAGAACTAGCTTGACATTGTATTTCCAAGACTGATAATTCTTGCCATTTAGCTTATCGATCTTCGTAATTTCCGCCATATTAGACTCGAAGTATTTTCACCAAAATTTCCGCCAAACAGGACAAATAAACACGTTTTAATTCAATTCCACACGTCCTGGGCCCATAACCTATTGAAATATTCGCTCACTTTCGATTGTATAACTATTTATTTGAAGATAAACATAACTTTAATAATATGAATTGATTTTCTAAAACATGTCCGACCGAATGTACACATTAGAGAGAGAATCTCATTAATCTTTAATTAACCAATCATATTTAGCGTTATAGAATTTGGCGGGAACTTATTAATCTTAACATTTTCTGGTTCGCTATTGTAAATGAATATAAACTAGAGTACGTTTCAATTCAAAAAAGTTCGAAAGATTTGGGCAATGTGGGACCCCCTTTGTTAGTAGGCCACTATTTGTTGCATATTAGTTTCTCATCCGGGGCTTCACCTAAAGTTGATGCAGGCGGGCGGGTCATTACCATTATGCCATTATTTGCCAGATTTCCCCCTCTCCGTAAATATTACTTTGAAAAAGTGCGCAATTAGCATTTATAGCATTGCAAAAGAGCAGAAAATTAGTGAGTGCAACTGAAACTATGTTTTCATATTAAAAACATGGCCACATGTGAAATAATCACAGAATAGAGAAATCATTTTGTAGCCAAGTCGTCTCGCGTTTTTTCCCCTGCCCCTAGCTTCCGGTAGAACTTTTACGTAAATGCGAGAGAAACTGGCAGTTTTGGTATGAAATTTCGTATCTTAACTAAATCTTTTGGTTTGGGAACGTTTCTAATTGGCGAACAAGACCATTTTCTTAAAAAGAATGCGGGCGGGGATGAGAAACTAATATACAACAAATACAGTATGTGGCCCAGTTTCAGGTCATTTCAGGTTTGAACTGCTATATCTTTCTTTTCAGGAAAGGTACGATTTTTAAATGCTCACTTAAGAATAGGACATGTGTTTCTTAACAATATTTCAAAAGATTGACTTTTCTTACCTTTCAGTTTTAGAATTATTTATATTTTTAAGAATCATTTTATGTGCCCAGTATCGGGTCAACTGCACCAGTATCCGGTCACTTCAAGTTTATTTGTTAAGTGTATGAACGTGTTTGTTTTACAGCAATTTTCGATCGTTTTTTATAGTTGCAACATGTCTTAACAACCTTTATGTGAGGTTTAGAAAAGGTTTAGATGTGATATTTCTAGCTTGAAACTACCTCTTCTGCACAGATTTCGCAGAGTGGATTCTAAGCAGTGCTTCCACTTTCAAAGGTTGAAACTTAGCTGACCTGAAACTAGGCCACAGTGCCGAACTTTACGTAATTTGTGGGACCAGAATATATCTCTAAATAATTGAATACTTAAACTTTCCATTTCATATTTATATATTCTCGGCAATAATCTATCGTTAGGACAAAAATTGGTCAGTTACAGGGAGAATTACATATCAATAACACCATTTTATTGTTATTAGTTAGTTTTACTGCGCAGTGAAATGAAGAAATTTTAGTAAAAGAATATAAACATGCCTGAACAAAAGGGATTCTTCTTTGAATACAGTTCAAATAAAAAGCCCGCAAAAACTATCATCCTAAAAAGGAAAGGTTCGTCATTATATCTATATATTTCGTTTCGCGTCGCTTTTTATCTCGGCGAAAAAAAATGAAATCGAATTTCCATTGACCGGCTACTGGTACTGACCTGAAACTGGGCCACGTACTGTAGTGGCCTTTAATATGAGCAGAACTGATGCGCAGAACGGACTCAGACCTCTCAACTCTCACACATTCGGCGTGAGTCTCACGCAATTCGCTTCAGTCTCACGCTCTCACGCCAGACCTCTCAATTCTCACGCATTCGGCGTGAGTCTCACGCAATTTGCTTCAGTCTCACGCTCTCTCTCATGCCACGTTTAGTAAATCTAACGCATAAAAATTTTGGTAAGTCCGGAAAAATTTTTGGACCCCTAAAATGGTACACTGACCGAAAATTTTTTGGCGAGGGGGGGGGGGGGGGGGGGGGGGGGGGGGGAGGTCGCCGAAATAATTTTTCTGAAAAAAAATTTTTCGGTACTAGTCTCACTCTTAACTTCTCTGCAAAGTTGAGAGGTCTGCGGACTTGACATGGTCTTTAAACTAAAAAAAAACTTTAAAAACTTACCATCAAGACAGGCTGTTCTTTCATTCAAACGTTGTCCCTTTATCCATGGTCGAGTTGCCAGTAGAATTTTTATAAACCAGTACAGCGATGTAGCGAAATTTCGTCAACAACTGCACGTCTTTTTCTCTTTACTACAGAATCCCTGTCCATTGAGTTATAATTTACAAAACTAACCAGTCGCTATAACGTAAAATAAGCGTGTATTTGTGAACAAAAATGCCCTTTGACGACACGAAGTAAACCGGCGCCATCTTGTCTTCTCCAAACATTGCAAATTTTCCCGCCAAAAACTCTGCGGTGAAGGCGAAGTCCCGTATGTCATGCGCAGAGGGGGCTACCGTAAAATATTTTAAAAATACGCACTAAATCCAATTTTAATCTCTTTACGGGCCTTTACCTTCGCTATTTTCGCTTTTCACATATTGTTCGACCCAAGCACGATTGTAACACAACAATTTTTGCTCGCCAAACATTTTAAAATCAAGAAAACATCGGGAAAATCCGAAGTTGTCTGAGGAGCCACTGAGCTGTCTGTCTGTTTTTCACGTTCTCAGGCCTTACTTCATGTAACCAAGCTTGTTCTGGCTCGAACAAGTGAACAACATGGCCGCTCAAATTTTCCAAAAAATCATACCAACCAAACTTAACTAGCTTCTTCTCAGCACGTACACAGCATACGCTTTCTAAAATACTTCTAAAATGGAGCTAAACCCACCTAAATTACATCGAGAGAATTAAATTCACCAAGCAGTGTTTTAAAATTGGAAAATCTGGCATCGGAAGCGGAAAAATTTTTGGTTTTAATGGTTTACTCAAACTAGTTTAATACTACTACTAGTGACTAGCCTTTTAAGCGACGAGATATCTAGCCGTCTAGCGTGCTAGTCCATAGTAAGAAATTAGTTGGCTCTCGACATCTATTGTTAAAGACGGCCAGGAGTTTGCTGTATGACGAGGCAGAGGGTTTTGAGGGAGTGGAGTTGATTGGGCCATTCCATTTAATGTACACACCCCCCTAATCCCTATGGACCAGTTCAATAAATTTGCAGTCGCATATTACTGAAGCGTAGTCAGATTAGCTTTCATTGGAAGCTGACTTGTGGTTACAGCTCGACAACTGGCCTCTGTAGCTCAAGTTGGTTAGAGCGCTGCACCGGGATCGCAGAGGGCCTATAGCAGGCTTTCTGGCATACTTGCCGAAAAGTAGGATAAAAGTAGGACTACAATTTTAGGAAAAGTAGGAATAAAGTAGGAAAATGTGTAGAAAAGTAGGGCAAAAGTAGGAGTTTTTTGAGATGCAAATAACAAAAAAATGGACAACATTGGCACGTGTACCTTAGATATATGTGGTAAGGGGTGGACAATTAGATATCTGATGGGGAAGTTGTGTGAATTTTTGGTGCTCAATATATTTTTGTACTCATTCATCTATGCATGATTTTTTCTCAAAACTTTTAAATTGCATCAGTATAAAAGCTAAGGCATCTGCTCTGCAGCAACACAATTCAAATGCATTATGCGTGTGAGTGCATGTATTTGGCTGCACCATACACCAATCCACACTGTGCGGTAGGAGCATATGATGCTTGATTAACTGGGGGGGGGGGCTGTTGAATATTTGGAATCTCTAGATCGTCCGAAATGGCACTTTCAGAGTCTTCATTAATTTATTGATTATGATTCTAGAGATGCTATGGAATTTTATACTCGGAAAATGTACTTCTTCTCTTCTCGAGATCTTATCATCTAGGACACAAACAGGGAATAAAAATTACGAGTCCTATAGATCTAATTACGAGAACTATAACATACTGATTCCCCAAGCTGACTTAAAAAAGTAGGATTTCATGAGAAAAAGTAGGAAAATCAAGCAATTTTTAATAAAAAATAGGAAAAGTAGGAAAGTTGAAGAAAAGTAGGAAAAAGTAGCAAAAGTAGGAAAGTTGAAGAAAAGTAGGAAAAGTAGGAAAGTTGAAGAAAAGTAGGAAAAAGTAGGAAAAGTAGGATGGCAAGAAAGCCTGCTATAGTTTCCTGGTTTAGGTCAGAATAAATATATAAAATTCACACTCGAATGTACATCTATAAAGTCCTTCAACAAACGCAGATAAGTTTATCGTTCCTGATCAACAACAGGCTTCTTGTAACAAGCTTGTTCACAAGTTCGCACAGGGCTGTTAGCTTATCAAGTTACTGCAAAGTTTTCTACAAGCTGTAGAGAGCGTAATTGTAACAATCAAAAACAGCAATTTCATCGATACAAATTAAAGTTTACGTAATTAAATATTTTAATCAATTACATGACAATAATTACATTTTCATCCTGTGCTGTGTGGCCCGTTCAGACAATAGAGAGTTTTAGTTCGACTTCCAATACCGATGTTTTCACTTCCGTTCTCATTTTGGTACTGGGAATCAGTTATCACGGCAGATAAAGTGTAAAACACATCAATCGTCACCGAAAATGTGCGGTATACTAAACGGCAGATGAGCTAAAATTCCGACTAAAACATGACTCAGGCGATGCTAATAAACAAATAGTTTGCATGTTTATCGTAAAAATTATGAAATATCCGATTTATATGAGTTTATCTTACAATTCCCACGACTTCCAATACAAACCGACTTCGGTAGTGGTGACTTCCAATACAGTTGTCCTCGTGCTTCTTGCGAGCAGAGAGCATGCGCATGACATGTTGTTAGTATCGGTATTGGTATCGAAAGTCGAACTTAAACTCTCTAATATTAGATGACAGTACCGTAAATTTAAGTTAGAATCCAAGATAATAAGTTATTATTTCCAGTTCGTAACATACACCATACATTATTCTTACGAAAAATAACTAAATATACTAACTATAATGTGTATATAGTATGCGTTTTTATACGAAAAACAAAAATACCTCGCTTGGGCCACTTATGTTAACAATATGTTATGCCCTGGTGATGTCAACGCCAGCTGGCGTGATACATACAATATTAAGTAATTCAGAATTGCTCAACTTAATAATTTAACTATTAAAAAGCGCCATTCAAGTGAGAGCTGTTCTAGAGAAAAGAGCCCGAGATCGAGTCGATGAGCAGCGGGGACACTTCGCGAAATATTTGTTATTTGTTTGTTTCTGGAAATTGAATTTCTTTACAGTAATAAACTTTTTGCATGTAAATATTTAGCCACACGTACAAAGTCTTCAGAAATGACTGGGGGTGGTGGAGGGGGTGTTGGCCCATAATCCGTCATTGTTGTTGTGGTGCTAAGACTGGGAGGGGCTAAATTTGCATTTTTTGCAGATGCTCAATTGTACATAAACTTTCGTTCCAAATTCTATCTACAAAAATAGAATTTTAACCGAGGCATTAAAAAATCTCTCATGCCAGGGCTGAAAGCGTAGTTCACGAAACTGGCCCGTTTAATTTAATATTTATACCCTCGTGGTAATAAACCTGTGGTGTTCAACAAAGCACTCACAATATTTGAAAAGGTATCGGGTAAAATGTTTTTTATAGTCTAGCAAACGCACAGTGAAATATCACTCTAGTTACATGCAAAGCTCATAAGAGCAAATTAGTATATACCTATCAAATATACGAAAAATGCCCAAACACTAACTTTGCAATATGTTTACTTCGCCTGATCTTTAGGAGTGCCTTACAAATTTTAAATATGTATATCAAATTCTACATTTGCTTCAAATCGAACACCACATTGTCTTATAAACTTTCACAAAGTTAGCCTAGCTGTCAGTGTAAAATAATGTCGCGATTGTATATAACTAGACATATCTAGTAGGCGTTTTGCACTGCGGCGGTTGCCCCAGCGGCTGCTGCATTTTGAACTGTTTTGTTCTTCATGGCTCCTTCAGCGAACTCTGCTTGTGCTTTTTGCATGCTTGCTCCAGTCGTACGGTAGATCATATGAACCTAGGAAATATACACTCTGTAAAGGCCATGTTACACGGTGCAATTTTTCTTGCAATGCAATTCTACTCTTGAGAGATGTTAATTAGTGAAATCAGTGAAGAATTTTCGATATGTTGAGAAAACATCAGCGGAGTGCAGTACGTGAACTGTAATAGGCGGAGTGTAATGAAGACTCGTATTTGGCAATTTTACATCTCTCAAAAGTAGAATTGCATTGCAAGTTGCAAGAAAAATTGCACCGTGTAACATGGCCTTAAGTACTTTACACATACGTAACAATTCTCACATCTTGTCAACAAGATGTGTTCGCAACAGGCTTGTAGCAAGCTTGTCAACCAGTTGTAACAATTAATGTTATCATTTATCAAGTTGCTACAAGGCTGTCGCTCACAACTTGTTAAACAACTTGTAACAAGGCTGTCGGGGTCAACAACATCTTATCAGTTTGTCAACAAGCCGTTGACAACCACACGCGTAGTTACAAATCTGTTCACATGCTGTCGACAGGTTGTGTTCGCACCGCTTGTCCCTAGTTGTAACAAGTTAACAACTTGTAACAAGCTTGATGGCATTATCAGACTTGTTGCAAGGTTGTTCTAATAAGTCTGATACAGTCATGATATAACAAGAATGTTACAATATTTTTTTCTGTGTTGGTGTAATGTACTCAGGTGAATATGATGCTTGTGATGTTACTCTGATCATTATTAGATAACATTGATATCGAAGAAACTAGATTCTGTTCCGAAATAGCACATACTCGAACCGACCAGACCGCGTAGCTCAGTTGGCAGAGCATTGGGCTAGTCTTCCAAAGGTCGTAGGTTCGATTCCCACCGTGGTCAGGCATATTTTTCAAGCTTGCCCGGTGTGGATATACTCAGAGTAACATCACAAGCATCATGTTACAATATTGTTATATCATGACTGTATCGAACTTGTTTGAACAACCTTGTAACAAGTCTGATAATATCAAAGGTGAAATTTTTGCGTGTCTAACAGACACCCCAGGAAATCTTAAAAACATACCAAATACGCGTTTTCAAATACGTACCTTTCTAAGCAAGATAATCTCCAAAATTGCATTAATAATGAACAGACCAGCACAAGCGAACATCATTAAACCAACAACTTTATGACCACCACCACCGTTTTTGAATAATGAAGCTCCGTTTATAAATCCGCTAGAGAAAAAGAAAAATACGACAATGCTACAGGGCCGTCGTTTTTATTGCTCTATGGTGAAGTCAACCCAACCTGGGGTCGATCTACCGTGGGGGCATTAATGTTAAGTCAATACAGTTGTTACAAATCTTACCTAAGCTCAGTCTGTTCTTTATTATTATTATTTTATATTATATATTACTCTATTATATGTGTATAACTATTGTAGCTATACTTTATATCTTATATTTAAAATACTACCTACTTGCCCTGCCTCGATTAACTCTATAATTATTTGCAGGGTAAGCTGTAAATATATTTAAATTATAATTATTATTATTAAAAGTTGAAGTTGATGTTAAATCAATGTTTGTAAATTGGATAAAGATATTTCCTTATTTACATGAACTTCAGCTTTGATTTTCTCGGCTTAGACAATGTTTATTTTTAAAATTAACATCCGATCTTTATCTGATATATACAAACTCTCGCCTTCCAATTCGGCTCGAGTTTTTATATGAGATAAAGATCGACTGCTTTTGTTTTAACTGGTACCTACCTTACTCCAATTTGGTCAATTCCAAGGCATGCAATTCCATTGAACAAAATTTGGAAAAACAGCACAAAGAAAAATATCATAAAACTGAAGGAGCTGTCACTTCTAGAATAGAGACAGTAGAAAACTTTATTTACACACGCTAACCCAGATCATTGGACAATGGATCAATCCCCAATGAACCAAAATTTTGAACTCAACAAGTCTAGACAAAAATTTCATCACAGCTTGAAAGAGCATCGCAAAATTAGTAATATTCCAAAGTTTCGTTGCAAAATGTTGTAAAATGCGGATAATATAGCCTTGCGAAGTTTGCAATTTTCAGTCATTTTAGATTACAAACGGGAAATGGTTACCACTTCTGTGTGTAGGCTATATTATCCGCAGTTTACAGCATTTTGCAACGAAACTTTGGAATATTATTAATTTTGTGATGCTCTTTCAAGCTGTGATGAAATTTTTGTTTAGGCTACAATCCTGGACAAAACATCTGCGACACTTCCAATTATACTTGACAAAATATCGTAATGTTATCGTAAATTTAGAAAACCTCCCCCTTTCCCCCACCATTCAATGTTGATTGGATTCGTAGAATACGGATAAAGCGTCCAACATTGTTTTGGGGGGCGGAGGGGGGCAAACGAGTAAATTATTCCGGTCTAACTGGTAAAAAAAGCCACAAAGGAATGGTTTAATAGAGTGTCGCAGATGGTTTTGTCCAGGATTGTCTGTATCTTTCAAATTCAATAACCAAGGCATTGCGCATTAAAAATTGTGTTTTATGCAGGACTTTCTCTTCCCGTAGTAACTATGGCTCACTATAATGTATTAGGCTTCAAGAAGCAAATACCACATGGTCAACAAGGTAATATAATACCCTCATGCAACGCTATGCTTCGATAGCTTGTATAGAATGCGATTAA